ATTTAAGAGCTAAGAGCAGGAAGAGCAGCTTAGAAAAATGGTTTTTAAGTTTCATTGTCTGTTATTGTGCTCATTAATTTCTTATTATTTCTACTGTTTATTGTCTGCCGGTTTTATATATCAGTTTTGTGGTCATACGTACATGTACGTCATTTATTTTGTTGTGCCATGATTTTGTTTCTCTAATGAAATGAATAAAAAAAATGAACTTTAAAAAAAAGTTTCATTGTCTGATAGTGTCGAGTATTCTCAGCTCCTGGAGAGTGAACACAAGAAAATCCTTGTGTGATTAAGGTTCTGTTTAGGAGGGTATATTTCTTGTCTGATAGTTCCTTATCCCTTGTATTTGCAGCTCCTTGAGAGTAAATACAAGTAGATGAAAGCTGTACAATTCTTGAAACCAAAACTTAGACCAGTATGATTTGAAAACCTTTAGAGTTATGCTGTGCACAAAACAACCAAGCAACATGTGACAGTTTGGTTTTATTCCTTGTATTGGCAGCTCCTTGTCTGATAGTTCCTTATCCCCTGTATTTCCAGCTCCTTGAGAGTAAGCACAAGAAGATGAAAGCTGTACAATTCTTGAAACCAAAACTTAGACCAGTATGATTTGAAAACCTTTAGAGTTATGCTGTGCACAAAACAACCAAGCAACATGTGACAGTTTGGTTTTATTCCTTGTATTGGCAGCTCCTTGTCTAATAGTTTCTTATCCCCTGTATTCCCAGCTCCTTGAGAGTAAGCACAAGAAAATGAAGGCCCTGCAGTCCCAGCACCAGACAGATCAGGAGAGGCTGGAGGAGCGGGTGGCTCAGGAGGAGGGCGTGGTCACGGCGCTGAGGGAGGAGATCCGAGGCAAGGACGAGGCCACGCGCAAACTCAGGGACTCCATGAAGGAGGTACATTTGTATAGTACTGTACTGATGCTCGATCTTATGCTATCTAGAGACAGTGCACATACCCTGCCAGTAAGTTTTGTTATTAGAAAAAATGCAGAAACACATGATTAGCCCTACCACTTGATGTTTTGTACTTAGGATGTTAATTTTCGTTCTATAGCCTTTCTTTCTGTTTTATGCTATGTTGAATAGTCGTTGCCATACATTGTACGGTATTTATACCACGTACAATTGTCGTGCAATAAAGTTCTTCTATCATCCTGTTAATGTCTGATTGTTGTCCTATTTTCCAGCTGGCCTCTCAGAACCAGGACCTGTTTGCCATGCTGTTTTCTGGCTCACATTTGAGAATCAGGACTTGACTGTGTCTAACATCATCCTGTTAACATCTGATTGTCATCCTATTTTCCAGCTGGCCTCTCAGAACCAGGACCTGTTGGAGCAGACCCTGACCCTGCAGGAACAGCTGCAGGAGCTGCAGCGGCTGAACTCTGCAGAGAACACGAAGCTGTCCCAGCGGCTGTACCGGGAGCTGGGCGTGTGCCAGTCGGAGCTGCAGGCCCTCGTACAGGTCCTCATGCAGCGCGCGGAGGGGAAGGAACCAAACATGTCCATTCTACTGGGACTGAAAGGTGGGTTGTCTGAAACTAGGCATATCCCAGGGCTCGAAATTCATTTTTGGGAATAGGTGCACTGCTGCACCCAAACTAAAAAAATTGGGTGCACAAAAAGTCTTTTGGGTGCACCATATAAGGTAAAATAGTTATATGTAGAATGTCCAGGTCCTCATGCAGTGCGCGGAGGGCAAGGAACCCAACATGTCCATTCTACTGGGGCTGAAAGGTGGGATGTCTGAAACTCTATGCACAGTTTCTTATCTTATACAATACCGGAAAATACTTGTGCACAGAACCCAACATGTCCATCCTTCTGGGGCTGAAAGGTGGGATGTCTGAAATCCCACATCTACAGTTTCTTATGTTATACAATACTGGACAATACTAGTCCACAGAAACCAACAGGTCCATTTTACTGGGGCTGAAAGGTCTGAAATTTATCAGCAAATGTTTTACTTCTGTCCGTGGGGTCATGTGGTGTAACAGTAGTGTATTGGGCTCAGTGCCAAAAGGTCCTTGGTTCAAATCCTGCCATGTCACCGATCTTGTGCCCTTGGGAAAGGCACTTAACACAACTTTCCTCACTTCACTCAGGTGTAAATGAGTACCTGAACGACGAGACTTCAACTAAAAAAAATCTGCTTTATTCTAAGAGTCTTCTCTAAGATCCTACATCTTAACGTTGCCATTCAGATGTCAAACAGACACTAACGTAACCGTTCAAACGTCCAAACGGCTTACCTTTTACACCTTTCCTACGATTTCTCCAGAACCGTCGACACCACCTGATGATGACCAGCAGGGGCAGAACGGACACAACCTGAAGACCAAACTGGCGCAGATCCGGGAGCTGCGGAAGGAAGTGGACCACCTGCGCTCCCTCATCTCTAACAAGTACGCAGAGGACATGGGAGACAACTGCATCATGCAGTAACCTGCACACCCCTGCTGCAATAGTGGTATCTTCCAGGGGTCCATCATTGGCAGTGTTTACCTGTTTAGAATGGTCCACTTCTTGGACAGGCAGGGTGTCTATATTGGGGACTCATCATTGACATAAATGACATGGGAGACAACTGCATCATGCAGTAACCCTGACACTCCCCTGCTGCAATAGTGGTATCTTACAGGGGTCCATCATTGGCAGTGTTAACCTGATTGGAACGATCCACTTCTAGCACAGGCAGGGTGGCTATTTTGAGGGCTCATCTTTGAGATAAAATCAAACTACTGGTACTGTCACATGTTATAGCTTTTCTATTTATGATGAACAGAAATCAGTCAAGTCCTGGTTTATCTTTTGCACATATCATTTGGGACAGCACTTACAGATCTAAATACACTTTTTTCTCCAACAAATATGAGTATTTGCTGTGTTGAGATCACTTCAGACAACTGTTGGGTTGAACCAAGTGCTTCTGTGTTATCAGAATAATAGGTGTTATCATGATAAGATAAGATTCACTGTTAGACTCAACCTTTCTTAATGGCAGCTATGAGGAATAGATTTGTACAATGATACAGTACTTGTTAATGTGTACATGTGATTTGTAACCTACATGTATTACTTGTTAAGGTGTCTTTTTGGCACCAAATTTGTATGTATCACATAGTTAGGTAGCAGGGTGATATAACTGAATATGGCAGGACCAAACAATAGTAGTATGTAATAATAGAAATGAATGAGCACAGAAACTGTAATTTTGTCATGTGTGTAACTTTTTTGTATGTCAGGCAACAGTTCAACTTCTACATTAAAGCTGACTTTTTTGACCTTTTTCCTGCTAAGGGTAGCCTGGATGGCATCCTCTGAAGTTTCCGCCGGCTCCCTAATTTTTGGCTTGCTACCACGGAAGCCAGCAACAGTAGGGAGCTGGTAGAAACTTCAGAGGTTGGCAGCCAGGCTATGGCTATGCTAAGGGTGCTGCAGGCCCCAAATTTGCATTGATTTTAGGAGGCATTGAGACCTTTTCTCTTGACAATGTGTATCTCCATAGGATAACGTTAATAGAATCAGCAATACCAGGCCAGCAAAAAATCATGTGGATTTCTGCAGGATTCAGTACTGTACATTGTATCTGTGAGATGTGCTATATAACTCAGGCAACTGTTGTTTTAGTTAGGGAGTAACATGGCTGGACCACCGACTAACTGATTAAACACCCTGTAACAGCAGCCCTTTCAATTCCATAGTTCCTCATGTTAGAATTTCCACTGTGTGATGTTAATATGTAAAAACTTTTGCTGGCCAATCTTTGTATATATCAGGTGAAAAATCACTCTCGTAATTAACTCTAAACGCACATGCTGCTATTTTCACCTTTAACTGCACAGTAATTTTGTCAATAGTTAGAGCATCAATGAAGGGTGAAAAGTTTGACTAACGATTGAAGAAATGTACATTTATATGTGTCTAGTTATTGTTAACTACATGTAATACTTATGTTTTTCAGCCACTTTGATGCTGAATGTGAACTTGTAATTTAATGTTAATTTATTGCTCAATAAAAGACTTTCATTCCTAGATGATGACTTGTTTTACCCTCACTCATCACCATATTTAGTTCGGTTTTCATAGAAAATTTATGAGATAATTAGTTGTCACTAGCGTTAATTGTATTTGTGATCGTGAAAGTTGCTACATTTTAGCAGGTTGTAGCAGTAACATTTCTTGTCTGAATTAACTGAATACTAGAAGTACTTTTGGGAAGCGCCACACCCAGAATGAACAACAAGCTACTAGTACTAGTACTATTTTTCTACTCTCAAGCAGAGGTTGTGGGGGAATGATCGTTAGCTTTTTGTATATGGCCGTTTTTTTGTCGCTAATCCCGTCGGTGGCCGGCGACCTTCTCTGGCTAATGGATACAGCCTGGCCAATTTGATACTGTCTTTTTGCCACTGAAAGGGATCTGCTTGGAGATTACAGTTTCGTTAGATGGTCTACTAACGCCATCTGGCGAAATTGACAGTCAGTGCAGAGGAGTACCTTGAAATGTAAGTAGTGAACAGATATTTCGGATATGAACCGTTCACACAGCTCATTACCCTGTGGATGATACGACGTAGTATTAGACAACAGCTCCGTATAGTCGACACAGTTCCTGCATGCTGGACAAGAATTTAGCGTCTGTCTGAATGCAGGCGGTGCGTAATCCAATATTAAATGGTCTTAAAATGTCTATGAAATGCGCGCTCAAGTAATAATTCTATTAGTAACAACGCAAAACTTTCTGTTTATACCGCATTAAAGGAAAACTATGGACAAAAACAATACCTCTCAAGTATACACAATCTAGATATCCGAAAAGCGATCACAAAACTAAGAATTAGTTGTCATAAATTAAACATAGAAATAGGTCGATACAAGAAAATACCAAATGACCAAAGGTTCTGTCCATTTTGTCCAAACTTGATCGAAAATGAGCACCATTTTATAATGGATTGTACACTATACAATGATAAGCGCCGATTGCTGTTCACCTTTCTTTCCGCTTGTTCAATTGATTTCAATATATTAGATCCTATAGATAAATGCAACTACATTCTAAGGGGAGATAACCAATACAGTGTTCAAATAGGAAAATACATTAAAGAATGTTTTGATCTTAGAGAACACATGTTAGAGAATAGTTAACCTTTATTATCATATAGCCGGACGGCGCGGACCAATCAGAGGCCCGGATACCCGTGCTGTTATTTCCCGATAACAGCACATGTGGTGTTATGGCGGAATAACAGCACATGTCGTGTTATGGCTGATACCATTATGTTATAGGGTATAGGGGCATGCGACTCTTTCTGTAAACCTTTGTAGCCTTTTTTCTGTCCAATAAACTTTTTTTGTTTAGCTTCATTTAAACTACAATTTGCATTAAATGAAATTATCCATATTTGTTTTAAAGCGTATAATATATTCGAATGTATTTTTATGTATGTATATATATCAAAGCTGTTGTATTTCAAACAGGAATTGTGTTGATTGACAGTTTGGATAGGCTATATGATAATAATTTTAATGCACTGCCTTTTCCTCGTTGTATATGGTGTCATAACTGCATGGGCAGCTGCCATAACCACCTCATAAACCACCTCGTTCGCTTCGCTCACACGGTGGTTTATTCGGTGGTTATGGCAGCTGCTCATGCAGTTATGACACCATATACAACTCGGGGCAGTGCATTAACCCTTTATTGTGACATCATACATATACTCTGTACGTAAGATGACGTTATCCACACATGTATTTAGCTTTGTTAGATCTTTAGTTAAGTTGTAGAAGACCATACAAAAGTCTCTGTACTTTTTTGTTGTGTCAATAAAGAATCCTTTCAGTAAAGTAACAGCTGGAAGCAGATTTATCTTAAATCCAATAGTATACATGTGTCGATCTTTGTATACCTTATAGACCTAAATAGTAAGTACAGTATTGTGAATGCCTGTTGAACTTGAAGCTGCATCGCTGAAGCTGTGATCGTGACCACTCACGAGCGGCCTCTCGCGGCATACTAGCAAACTGCAGTACATTTCGTCCGCCAATCGACAGGCGACACGAGACCGAGGCTGCGCGTTGATTCCAACATGGCAGCTTCCTGATGCAACTTTCCTTGGATTTCTCGCTACCTTCGCCTCCCTCCAAACTTCTCCTAATCCTGAGACGATGATCCTTCACCAAGTCTTGCTCTACCTCGTGCACACCTTCTCAGCGATCAGGACTTGGCTCGCGTCCCTGTACCATGGCCTCAAGAAGCCGCTCTCCTTCAAACACCGGAAGAGGAACGTCCACCGAATCAAGTCGGACTCGAAGGCGTTGAGCAAGTTGCCGATGCACGTGGGTCTGGTGGTGGTGGAGGATGATTTTAGATACGGAGACCTGGCCAGCCTGGTGGTGTGGTGCGCGGCCATGGGGATCTCCTACATAAGTCTGTACGACAGCCAAGGTGAGGAACTAGCAAGCGACGTTCCCTCTTTCGTGTACGCCCCCCCCCCCCATGTTCAGCGTTACACGTATCACATTCATAATTTGTTAGGGATCAAGTGGCGCTATGCTCGTTTCACGTGCGATCAGCTCACATGTTGATAGCAGTATTTATTGATACATTTTCCTCTCATTCAAAGTCTAGTGTTATAACTCTTTCCTTTGCACCTTAGACCAGATTTCTACGGTTTCTACCTACGTGGGCGTGCTCGAGTATCTGATTGAACTTTGACCCGAATGCTCAGCATGGCTTGTTCAGCACTTTTCTTGAATTCCGAAATACCTTTTGGCTGTTGCGTCAGCTCTTAAGTCCTTGAGGTTGAATACTAAGTAGATATTTCTCTCCCAACTTAACATCAAGGACTGAGGCATTTTCAATCCACTGTAGACAAGTGCCACCTGTTTATAACGGTCATTCGGTACATGAGATTCAGGTCAGGCAAGGCTTGACCTGATCAGATGTTTACCTGTTTTTTAGAGCGTAGCGCGATCTTTGGTCTGAACACGTGGCGCAGGCATGATCACCCAGCACAGGGAGGTCATTGACCTTAAGAATTGGCAGCTGAACTCACCTTGAACTTGGAGGACTTTGACCTCATACTTAGGGCTCTAACACTCTTTAACTTAGAAAAAATAAGTACAAATTAAAACAACACAAATAGACTTAGAATATATTTTTTTAATCATTGAAGTCAGCTGTTTCTTTGACTGTTGCTAGTACAAATGTATGTTCCTCATAATTCATATAATACATGTAGTACTACTAGTGCTAGTAAGTAGGTATACCACATCACATCTGTATCGGTATAGCCGGTATAACTGCCCTTCGGCGCAACACACCAGCTTGCATGTTGCACTACATACATGATGCATACTCTTAATTGTACAAGTATAATACAGTGTTAAAGATTGCAATAATTTAACCTGTATTCTTTTCTTCCACAGGAATTCTTAAAAGAAACAACACAAGTCTTTGGCAGGAGATCATGAAACAACAGCAGGAACTTCTAGGAGAGGAGAGTAACAAGTACAATATAGAACTGGTCAGGGGGAATAGAACAGCAACACAGCTAACAGGTACAGAACAACATGAAAGTAAAGGCTAACTCATGCAAAATGCTGATTTAAGATGGAAGACATAGTGTATTTCACTGTTAGTAATGTAAGAAATATTAACTCTAGCTACCGGGTATTGTAGATAACTACTAGTATTCTAATTCCAACAGCACAATACCCCATAATAGAAGATAGTGCCAAATCAGTAAATGTTGCAAAAATCCACTTGGGAATTATAATTTTCAAGAATGTACGTTTTCTGTTATATGATTCACTCGGTTATATGACTAACTCTACATGTTGAGTTCCTTGTACATGTACAAAGTCATTATTACATTTCCAGATTCCCACAACACCAATTAACACTGACAGAAGTGTTACTTAACATGTTTCCATTCCTTCCAGGACAAAAATATAGCGTTGAGGTTCGTCTGTTGTCGTCAGAAGATGGTAGAACAGACTTGTTACACGCGGCGCAGCGGTGGTGTCAGGCCGTGGAGGCCAAACGGAAGAAAGTGGGCGACCTTGACCCCACAGCGCTGGAGGGGCTGCTACAAGGTCAGTTCTGTTTGTTTGTACTTTTGACGTTTGATCAAATTTGGAGAAATTTTCAGGCCCCATTTTCTTCTTATTTTGGTTTCTTTTTTTATGAAGAAAGTGGCTCTTTGTCAAAATCTGCTCACTAAAAATATTGCTCAACTTACTACTCTCCAAGCAGTACAGTGGCAAGACAGTATCCATTGGCCAGAGGAGTGTCCATTAGCCATCTGGCCAATAGATACTGTCTTGCCACCATATGATCTGCTTGGAGATTAGCTAAACACCCTGTAGCTGGTAACATATTTTAGACCATCTATGCAAAACCTGGATAGTGTGTGTGAGTGAGTAATTCTTGTTAGCCATCTTAAAACATTTTTATGTTACAAAAACCTCAGTTTTGTTGAGTGCACTTCTTCGTTCAGAATTTTCATACATTAACTATCCCACCTGCAGCTACAAGAGGTGCACCAGATGTGGACCTGGTGCTGAAGTTTGGGACAGTCGACAGTTTACTGGGCTTCCTGCCCTGGCAAATACGCCTCACAGAAATCCTGTAAGTAAACAAACTGTTGTTCTGGTACCATTTCTGTTTCTCGTTTTCAGGTTACAGACAAAACTGCTCAGAAGACCACTCAGGGGACCGATAAAATCTGGTCATGTGGACACTATAGACAGGATGGTTAATGCTTAGTGTCAATGGGAAAAAAATATCTAAGGGACTGCCAAAAAGTGCTAACATTGGCCAGGTGATCCTTAAGTGGTCACTTGTACTGTTGTACAGTTCCTTTCAACTTTTGAGACAATCTATTTTCAGTTTGTTGTACTAGTGGTACCCCAAAAGGTCCTACAGACTACAGGACAGAGGATGATGATTCTAGTTTAAACAGACAGAAATAATACATGTACACCTAGGTTTTGAGCTTCCCTTTCGTATCTTCCCAATGAGTCCTTCAATGTACAGTAATCTATAATGATGAAGCTACAATAAACAGAACTCCTGACAAGTCTCACATTTTCTTCCCCGCGGTTTTAGGTCAATGCCAACTCATCACAGCATAGACTACCAGACCTTTCTACTGGCCCTGCAGTCCTTCGGGAACATAGAACAACGCTTCGGCAAATAGCCTAGAACGTCCGCAGAGATATGTGTATTTTTTGTAGTCAGAAATGCCAATAAAATTGAAGCACATTGATTATGATCGCGGTTTAAGAATTAGTTAGTATTCTTGTTACGAGTCCGAGTATGGTACATGTGCAAAAGATATTAAAGTGTTTCTACCAAATGATGTCAATGTGGCAAATGTAGCTTAAAAACACCAGAAGTAGTCATATTTAATTTGAATAACTTGCAAAGTAAGAAATGTGATTTTTGGAAGGTCGCATAAAATGTTTTACAGATTACATATCCATGTGTGCAGAAGTTTCCCCTTATCAAAACCAAGTAATCAAAAGTAAGGTCTTGAAAAATGATGTTGCTTTTCACGCCCAGATAAAGAATTTGACAGGTGATGTCCATCAATGAAGTGTTGTCCGCTCACAGGCCAGTGCTCTGTAAGGCTGCTGACTGTAGGTAGAATAGAATCGTGTTCACAATGTACGTTCATGTCAAGCTATTTAATAGAAACATCTCACTGTGTTAGTAGGGCTTTTTATGGTGGCAACTTCGTATGATCAGTAGTTGTTCACTTGTTGAAAAAAAATGTCCCCACAGTAGCTTCAAACTCTGCCACTTGACTTCAACTGTTTCTGATCTTATGATAAATTGTGATTTGAAATGCAGTCTGTCGACGACTTGCAACTGATGTCATGTTAGTTAATATTTTTCAGTGTTCCTTTTGGATAAAACTGTGCAGTGTTTTTGTAACTTTTTTTTATATATCAGTAGTGCCACAACAATATGAACCAAAATTTGTAGTCACCACACATTGTATCTTTTTTGTAGTCAACACACAATCATTGTAAATTATAATAGAGTTATTAATCATATGATTTACAGTATGTTGTATTTGTGCTAGATGCTAGTGGCAGTTAGTCTGACAAAAATTACCTTTGGCTGTAAACAATTTATCAAAATTCAAATGTATTATTCAATTTTTATTCATACCGGTATTTACCAAATGTTACCTTAAAATTAATAATTGCCCAAAGGTACACTTACCTGCCGGGTAATTGTGGTTGTCCCTTACAGGTCCACGAGTGCTATCACTGGCCAAATACCTGATTAATGTGCAGTTTTCCTTAATTTGCATATACTACGCCAAGAGTCAAAGTTCAAAGGTTACCCCTATCCCATAATGCCCTAGTCCTCATTCTTTTTCTTTGGCGCAGCAGGAGGTGCTGGACGCCAATAGGGCAGGGAAGTAGTGTAATACTACTAAGGGAAGGGAAGGCCAGTGATAGCACTCGTGGACCTGTAAGGGACAACCACAATTACCCGGCAGGTAAGTGTACCTTTGGGCAATTATTAATTGTCCCTCACAGCTCCCCTTCGTGCTATCACTGGCCAAATACCTGATTAATGTGCAGATTTTGAAGCCACGTCCAGCACCGCTCTCCCGAAGTCACTCTCTTCGAGGTCCCTCTTGTAGAAGGTTGCAAAGGTGGACTCGCTGGACCAGTCCGCTGCCCGTAGAATTTCTGTAGTAGAGAGGCCACTTCTCTCTGCTGCTGAAGATGCCGCACCTCTGGTTGAGTGGGCACTGTACTGGGCAGTATCGATGCCTGCTAGGCTCATCACGCTTTTGATCCAGCGTGCGATGGAACTTGTTCCCACTGCTTTATGTGGCTTTTTGAAAGACACAAATAAGTATTTTTTCATCCCTCCTTAGAGGCTTGGTCCTGGCCAAGTACTTTTCGACATAAGTCTTAGGACACAGTTTTTTGTCCTGAGGAAGGAAGGCAGAAAAACCTTCTTGTAAGGTTTGTTTGGCCTTGAAGTCTTTGTCAGTTCTGACAGTACGAACAATACTCCATTGTGTTTTAT